TGATGTGAACATACAATGAACAGCAACGACGTAAGCAATCGATGAACGATGATCACATGAAAAGCTCACGACGACGTGTGTGTCGCAGCGGAACGGCAGAACCTTTATCTACAACGACGACACGAACGACGGATGAACGATGGTGATGTGAACATACAATGAACAACAACGACGTGAGCAACGAATGAACGACGATGACATGAACATATGATGTAAAACGACAATGCGAGACGTGGATGAAAAATGATGGGGTGAATATATATGATGAACAATGGCGATGAGAGCAAGGAATGAACATGATGAACAACAATGATGCAAACAGCAGATGGACATATGAGCAGACAAATGATTATATGAATAATGAATGGACAACAATGATGGCATGAACATGACAATGTGAATAACTGATGAACAATGACATGTTGTGGATGTATAGTAGATAAACAATGTAAGGCATCTCTGGTGGTAAAGGGTGATCCGACATGACAGATCTCAGAAACCATACAGAATTTTTTTAAGGGGTAACCATATAATGTCATAGGCACGTATATATCAGGGGTGAATAATGACAAATTTGTCAATATTCACCCCTGATATATATGTATGTACGTAGGTACGCATGTACGCATGCACACACGCACGTTCCTATGCACGTATAACTAAGGAAAACAGTAATCAGCTTATAGAGTGATATATGAATAACAGTAAAAACCTTTTTCAGTAATAAATGAGGGATCTACAACCAACAACGAAACCTGCATGCTCACAGAAGGGCCTCGCTCACTAACGAACACCTGGACGTACTTGGAAGACGTTGTTCCTGTGGCCGCTATCGTAGGTGACGACGGGCCGATTGCTCGCCCAGTCCCAGATGATGATGTTGAGGTCGTCAGAGCCGCTGGCAAGCCAGTTACCGGACGAGTTGAAGTGAACAGTGTTCACGCATCCGCGATGGTTGTCCAGCTTGTACATGAGCTCAAAGCGCTGCACAACGTGCAAGCTGCCTCCGTACCGGTGACTGCAAACCACCCAGGGTTTAAGTTGAATTTGGTAGAAAAAATGTAATAAATTCGTCAAAAAGCTAAAGCTAATTAGGCCCTTCAGGCTAAATGTGGGATGAAATACAATTAAAATTAAATAAATGTCACATTTTGTTTGGCTAATAGAGCATTAATTTGGCTAAACATTTTCAGACCAAATTAGTTAAATTGCTGACTTTTTTTTGTCCAGCTAAACCCCTGACCACCCAGATAGCTGTGCAATGACGAACACACGTCTGCGCAATAGACATGTAGAGTCAATAGCCGTGTTGGCATGCGCCTCTATAGAACAGACACCTGTCTATAAAGGACACTGTTTTGTGTTTATCTAGGGTGACAGCTATGCAGTGCTGCCAACTCTGCATAACAGGCACCTGTTCTATCTAGACTAGAAAGGAAAGTTTTGGTGTTTCCCCTAAGTGACAGTTATAAAGTGAAACCTCCTCTATAGAACAGATGCCTGTCTATAAAAGAGACATCAGGGGGGTTACCTTGAGTGAGCCTTATATACAGGTTTGCACACTGTATATCGTATATACAGGATAGAACCACGCCTGATCATGATAACCTGACAAGCAAGGTGAATGAAAACGCAACACATGGATGATTCGGACCAAAGCTAGAAAATTTAAAGCACAAAACTTCGAATTAATGGCGAAATTCGAGACCCGGAAGCGGAGTCGCGCGTATCGCACGTACGCGGTCACTCACTCACCCCCAGAGCTGCGGAGAGTAGCGATGTCCGAAGCCGTACTCTCGCTGCGTCAGCTCCCTGTAGGCGAACCACCTGTGCTTGGGGGCGCCACCGGCCTCCAGGTTGACGGCGACGTCCTCGTCACTGCTGCTGCCGGCGGCGATCGCGAGTTCGCGTTCCTCGTCGTCGTCGTCGTCCTCGCTGTTGTCATCCGTGTGATCACGGCTGCTGATGCTGCTCTGACTGTCGTCTGCAACCATGGCAACAACTCGTCGGTGCCGCAGCGAGGACGAGCGCGCGCGAGGGAGACGTGCGCAGATACAGCCGCTACACACTAACTCAACTAATATGACATGAACTAGCATTCATAATCAACATTTATTCAATTTCAGAATTGACTTCAAATTCAGATTTATATCACCAAATAATGTACTCGATTTTTTTGGATTAAAAAAAAGATTCAATTACATGTGTCATATACTCCATTTCACTATGTTAGGGTTTCCACTAATTAGTTAACCAGTTTTTGGTTTGTTAGTGAAGTCCTGATTCCCTAAACGCCCCTGCAGGCATTTAGCCAGTGTGCATTCACTCCAGGGTTCATAGTAGTAAGACACATGTTGAAATAAGGACTTATAAGATCCTTTCTAGAGGCCAAAATAAGACTTTTTTTACGCGATTTCTGATAGATCATCGACTATTTAAGGGCACTAATAATATTTATATACACAATTGCAAAGCAGATTTAATTATTCCGTATTATATATACAACAATTCTTACTCGAGTCGAGAACAGTAAGTCGAAAAATAAGGACTATTAAGTACTTTTCTAAGATTTCACCAAAAATAAGTACTAATAAGGGCCCTTATTTTATTTTTGGCAAAATAAGTACATATAAGACTTTGGAAGACCCGCTACGAACCCTGCACTCACGCACGTGCGATACGACGCATGACCGCCGAGTGCGACCACTACTCACCGTGTTACAGTTCCGTATCACGCTTACTCACCGCGTCTCAGTTCCATGTCACGCTTACTCACCGCGTCTCAGTTCCATGTCACGCTTACTCACCGCGTCTCAGTTCCATGTCACGCTTACTCACCGCATCTCAGTTCCATGTTACGCTTACTCACCATGTCTCAGTTCCATGTCACGCTTACTCACCGCGTCTCAGTTCCATGTTACGCTTACTCACCACATCTCAGTTTCATGTTACGCTTACTCACCGTGTCTCAGTTCCGTGTCACGCTTACTCACCGCGTCTCAGTTCCATGTCACGCTTACTCACCACATCTCAGTTCCATGTCACGCTTACTCACCGTGTCTCAGTTCCATGTCACGCTTACTCACCGCATCTCAGTTCCATGTTACGCTTACTCACCGTGTCTCAGTTCCGTGTCACGCTTACTCACCGCGTCTCAGTTCCATGTTGTCACGCTTACTCACCATGTCTCAGTTCCGTGTCACGCTCCGGCGACCCCACCGCCGCCTCGTCCTTCTGTCCTAGCGCCGGTTCCACGCTCATCATCACGCTGGCCTCCCGCTCGTCCTCATCCCCGCCCGTCTCTCCAGGATTCTCGGAAGTCTTCCCGGCCGCCGCGTCGTCGTCGGATCCTGCGCCATCCCTCACGCTCTTGTCCACGACGCAGATGCCGCTGTCGTCTTTGCGCAGCTTCTCGCAGTTCGTCGGCATGGCAACCGCGTCATCGAGCGTCGCGCGATTGTTTTCAGACTCCTCGGTGAGCGGCTGCATGATGGATTCGTTTGCCTCCTCCCCCTCCTTCCCACTCTCCCCTTCAACCTCCTCCTCCGTCTCAGCTCCTCCGACGCCGCGCACGGCTGCTGGGGCCACTCTGCCATCGACGTCCATCGGTTCAGTTCTCGCAGTGACGGTGGCGCCACCTTCCTCCATGCACTGGTCGTTATCTGCACACGTTTTTTCTTCGGCCGCGTCGTCCGCCATCGTCTGTAATCGAAGGGGAATCGAGATTTATTTTACGTATAAATCAATAAAAACTTCTTCGACGTGTGGTCGCATGTACACGCAATCGTAAAAATTGTCAGATCCATGTCAGACCACGTCAGACCCCTAATGCCTGGGGAAAACACTGCATTGTAGTCAGTGTTCTCATTAGGAACCGGCCACCGGCCGAATTGACCGTCTACTCTGCTGTTTCGGCCGGTTACAATTGGCTCAACTAGTATGATATATATATTTTTTTTTTTCTTTGCATTTAGTTTGCTCTAATTATTCTCCAAAGTGAAAGTGTTTTATGAGCTACTACTAATAAATCAGTTGAGTATATTTGTATGCATGTTATGTGCACAAGAAGCATTGTTTTGTTTTTGAGTAACGATATATAATTACTCTTATAATTACTAAATCGTCATAATTTAGAAACTTTTTGTGAACTCTGAATGTACCAGGAGAAACCAAATTGGAAAAAAGGACCATACTGTAATCCAAATGTGTCTGTTTACTGCAGCTCAGAATACACCAGATTGCATCTCGGAGCATCTAGGTTTTAAAAAAAAAAATTTAAAATTTAACCCCACACACACCGCCACGGCCTGTTGCAAAAGCATTTCGGCCTGTTACTATAAAAGATAATGAAAACCCTGTATAGTGCATATACAATTGTACACAATAGCAGTAAACTTCCAAAAAATTCACAGAGGAAATATGGGTCAAACTTTTAGGTAATTACAGGGTTAAAAAATCTTTGATTATACACCCACCTTTTAATTCTTTTGAAGTTATAATCAGTCAAGGCACTTTGTGATCAGTACAATGCACAACTACCATTCTGTTGGCAATCAATCTCAATATTGCTTCTTTTATATTCTACAAATGAATGGAGCATAAACGTATAGCAGGGGTAGAAATTAACTTTTGAACAAGGGAGTCCAATGGACTCCCTACCCTCAAAAAGAGGGAGTCCGCAGCAAAATGAGGGAGTCCGCAGTGTGAGGTTCAAAATTAAAGATATTAATAATAACGAGTGTGCTTATTTTTAAGACTCATGCAGTTGCACGTCTGCCAAATTTTCTTTCGACATTAGCTGAACAAATACAGTAATTCCACGAGGCCGTGCTCTGGAACGAACTATAGTTAGTATGGCAGAATTTTCAGGGAGTCACACGGACTCCTGCATATGTCAAATCAGGGAATATTTGACTCCGGACTCCCATTAATTTCGCACCCTGTATAGACTGTGACGTCTCTCCCCAAGGTTCCAGTTGGCACAATGGTGCGGATATTAGATAATACAGACCTGCAAGATAAAATGCATCGTAGAATCTTTGCAATTGCACTGACATCTATTAAGTTACATTTGCATACGTTATCGCATTAGTAAATTGAAGGTTTGACCATATACCTCATGGTTTTATGTCGATGTTCTAATACAATGCCAAACGCAGCATATCACAGACCAAGTGAAACTATTTAGATGTAGGCCTATTGCTGGGCTTCATATTAGAGGCCAACACACAGAGAATTTAGCCATGTACTTTGAGTTCTACACCTTGTATTTCACAGCCTGACCAGGCTGCGAGACTAACGTCAATACATATAGGCTGACACTAGCTCTAGTACTATAGCCGCTTACATTAACTGCCGCTGGGCTATAGACCGACCCATGGGGCATGCAATGGACCAACGTACTCCAGCCAGTCAGCGGGAGCTATGTATTTCCGCATGTAGAGGGGTGGGCGGGTTGTGTTGGTTGTGGACAAAAACATTAGTTTGTTGTTGTCAAGTAACAAATTAACAATAGTAATTTGTTCATCTTTCATGACAAAACTAATATTACAATCTCGTTTGATCGCTTAATTTTGTTACTTGACAACAACAATGTTTTTGTCCACAACCTCCCAAACCCGCCCACCCCTCCATTATGGCGGAAATACATAGTTCCCGCTGACTGGCGCTGCTGCAGCGCCGCCAGAAATGGCCGTTTGAAGTTCGCAAATCGAATGTTTGTTCACAAAAATACCGCAAGTATACACATTGCCAACGATAGTTAGAGGTTCAATTTTTAGTAGCGGCTATAACTTAAGACATATTCACTTCGGATAAGAGGCATTAATTGCCTACCACAGACGTTTTATAGTCGGGTATAATCGGGGATAAGTTGGTACATTGCATGCCCCATGGGTCGATCTATAGCCCAGCGGCAGTTAATGTAAGCGGCTATAGTACTAGAGCTAGGCTGACACCAACCCACCTTATATCCCCCAATGCTTTTACTCATGGGCTTAGCACTTTCAAAACAATATTAGGTAAAACCTCTGTATATAGTGTATATCCAACTGGCACTGTTCATTTAATTTTAATGCACTTGATTTTAGAAGCAGTGGCTAGTACTAGTAGTAGTAGTAGTAATTAATAGGCCTTAAACCTCACTAAAACACAAGCCGTGACTGAACCATGACTCAAACCCCAGAGCAACAGAAATCACAAAACTCAAAGTGGTATATAGTGACTACTTTTCTCTATGATTGCCCGTTTGCTTTCTTCAGATGCAATCTGTATCAATGGCCCATGATGTACATTGTAGTCACGTAGTCAAATATACAATTTACAGCCTGGATCAAAACGTCAACAGCTGAAGCGTGAAGCGTGGCAGGAAGTACTACAATTGTTTTATTTCGATACAGGTTTTGAGTTTTGAAGTGAACCCTCGCGAAGTTAACAAACCAAACGACAAAAATATCAGGCAATGAGGCATACAGACAGTGAGACACTGAGACAGTCAGGTGGTCGGTCAGGTGGTAAACTACAAGTTACAACAACAAGTACAACCGTTTCGTTTGGTTACCTCAACAAAAACACATTAGTAACAAGTAATTATAGCATGACACGATTCTGTAATACAACTAGAAGCCAGAAAATGTTATATTGCGTTTCAGTAGTGTAATTAGGCCACAAATAATGGTAAATACCTGTCAAATACTAGTAGTATATCATTATCAAAAATCCTACACTCGGAACAGCACTGGCAGTAAAGTACAGTGTTTATTTTGGTCTTGTTCGAAGCTCTGCACCAAATTAATTGAGGGTTAGCAAATCGTGGAAAATATTGTTGTTAATGTTTATAAAATAATGTCTTATGTAACACATTTTTAATTCAAGTGATTTTTTTCCATTAATAATAGTGTATAATTTATTATATTATTGTACATGATAGAAAAATAAATTATACACGTATGATTACGCCTATGATTACGCCAATAAAAATAGATAGATAACTTATTCTATCTATTCTGCCTATTCCTTCTATTTATCTATTCTACCTATTCTAGATAATAGGTTATCTATCTATTTCTATGGATTACGCCGTACTGAAGCAAATTAGACTGGTACCTGGTCCCACCTTTCGGCTTAGGCCCGGTCTTCACCCAAATCGAGGTGGGAGCGAGTACCAGTCTAAAAGAAAAACAACATGCTTGATGAACATGTTGATTGATATATATATGCTCTTGTACGGTGTCACGGTCTGAGATTACCCCCAGTCTGAAATTACCCCTAGCACCTCGTGCGCATGCGTGACGCATGCGCAGTAGCGCTAGGGTAATTTCAGACTGGGGGTAATCTCAGACCGTGACAACGGCACAAGGAGTCAAGGACCTTGTATTGGTATTGCGTTGTCGTGTACACTGAGCACACGCGCCAAATTCGGTAAGGCAAATTCGCCATAGAATCTGAGAACACTATAGTATTATACAATATATAGTATATGCAGTAACAATATATAGTATATACAGTAACAATATACAGAACAGTACAGTAACAATATTATACACTATACAGAACAGTACAGTAACAATATTATACACTATACAGAACAGTACAGTAACAATATACACTAGTAGTAGTACTATACAGAACATGTACAGTAGTCAGTAGTAGTGGTAGTAGTACTAGTAGTAGTAGTCCGAGATTCCTCTGACCAATGCCCACACCGACGATTTTGGTGGTTTTGGTGTGGGTTAGAGAGAGGGTAGATAACCCACACCAAAACCACCAAAATCGTCGGTGTGGGCATTGGTCAGAGGAATCTCGGACTATAGTAGTAGTAGTACTGTAGTCTGTAGTACTAGTATATTTTATTTATCAAAACATGGTAGCTACAAAACAACAACAATGCTGGTTTTCATGTAAGTAATTAAGTATACCAAGACAAAATACACTCTGTAACACAGTATAAAATACACACCTAGTAAAACCATTTCTGTATTTTAAGATCTGGAGCACCTAGGTATTAACTAAAACGCTGTGGCTATATGCCTGGCAGCAGGGCACGGTCTTCGATTTCCTAAATGCCTGATAGTTCCTAACCCTAACCCTAACCCTTGTTTACTTGAGATAACGCTGAAAATTAAAAACTGCCGGGCATTTAGGAAATCGAATACCGTGCCCGGTAGCCGTCAGATATATGCCGGCTGCCGGGCATATATAGCCACTCTGTACCTAAAAACCTGATATATTTCGATTTAAAAGACGCTAAGCCTACCTAGCATGATTTAAATGTAAAGCTGATAATATATACGTGCGCTAGGCTGCCGCGCAAGTAAAACGGTTCCCCTGTGCGGGATGGCCAAGTGGATAGCGTCATGGACATCATAGGGGATTGCTGAAAGAAAATGGAGAAAGAAAATGATGATGTCGCTGACCAACTAGCATCCGAGAACAACTGTTTGGTGTCACGTTGGAAGGTACCCTACTTATTCGTTGTAATTGTTGCCTGCTTTTTACTTGCATTGTCTATTGAATTGACTAAATGACTGTTGTCTATAGTCTAGCCTAGCTTTAGCCTAGCTCTAGTACTAGTATAGTCTAGCCGCTAGCCCTTGTTACCACATGCCCCCTTGTAACTTATTGTTAACCTTGTTATACTGGTCCAAAAACGACTATAATAATTTTCCGATCTATTCTTAGCATTTTGAGTTGACAATGGGGACCTTTGCCTTTGGCTTTGAGCAATATTTATGTTCCCATGATGGGGTTCTCACTATGGCTATGCACCTTCAAGTCCAGCTTTCACTAGCATTGCAATTTCTTTTGAGATATATTTTGAAACTGCTCATGTTATATATATTATTTGAATATTTTCAGCACACAAAGTTTTCAGGAGAGGATGACAAGCTCCTTATTGATTACGATGTTCTTTTGGAAAAACTGCAGGGTATGACATAGATTCAATAATGTATTCCAACACAAGAGTAGTGTTGGTTAGTTAAAAAAATTTATATCTACAGGGCAATTTATTCTCAGCTGTGAAAGTTGCAATACCCATCTCAACATTTACTTTACACATTCTGGGCATATTGCGTTGGAACAAAGCCGTTATTGAACCATTAATCCATTAATTAATTGATAATGTTAGTGAGAGTGTTACAATTGTATATGGTCTATGGTAAAATTATACAGGTGATGGTGTTTTTGATGTGAGTTGTAGGTGTTCCTGTGAGTTTTCGACCATCCCTTGATGTGGAACTAGTAGCTCTGTATAATGCTCTTTTTCTGAATTGGAAGTATAACTCTGATCCTTCAATACATCAACTGGCAGGTCTGGCCGTCACTACACTGAAGAGAGGTATGAGCACAATATTGCCAATTTAATTTTGCTTGTGATACCTTACTCATGAAAAATAACATTTTTGTGGTTTGACTATAAAATAGACTGTGGTAACTTATTACTATGAAATTATTCACTGTAGTGTACTCTTTGTGATTTCAATGCCTGTTGCCATATATATATATATCACTGGAGTTGAAGTTTTGTTCCACACATTGTGCAGGGACTTATATACTCTTTCTATACTTTTTCCTATGCTCTTACTATACTCTCTCTTTCTCCCCTCCCTTCCTCCCTCCTTCCCCCTGTCTATCTCTCCCTCTCTCTCTCGATCCCTCCCTCCCTCTCCCTCTCTCCCCCTCCCCCATCCATCCCTCCCTTCCCCTCCCCCTATCTCTCCGTCGCTCCCACTCTCCCTCCTTCCATTCCTCACTCACTCTCCCTCCTACCCTTTTTCTCTCTCTCGCTCCCTCTATCACTCCCTATCTCTACCGTTCTTCCCCTCTCCCTCTCTCTCCTTTATTCTTTCTCCGTGTCTTTCATTGTACACGTCCTCTCCTACTCTCTCTCTCTCTCCCACTCTCTCTCTTTCTATATATATATATATATATA